TGTTCTAAATATTTTTAAGTTTTATACAATTTAAAAAAAAAAGATTTTGTCTAAAAATATTCAATCTCTTTTTAAAAGCTTATCCAAAAGTATTAAATTTGTACTTCTTTAATTTCACACAAATACATCAAACTCCAGTACTTCCTTTGTGACTATTAGACATGGAAAGGGTTAAACCATTTCGCCTTGCCTATTTTAATAAGCTGTGCATCTTTTAAACCCAACAGTGTAATTATTTATTCATAGGAGTGAATCATCGTTGAGTCTAAGGAATCAACAGAACAGCAAGTCACATGGCAGTAAAACACAGCCATAAAACTGGTCCACTAGCTGGACAAAAGATACCCATTCACATTCTGATACTTTTATTAGAAAACACTTTACTTGAGAACAGAAGTATTGCTTCTTAATTGTTTGTTGTGAATTCTTCCTTGGTTTTGGTTTGTTTGGGAACCACTTTAATATAGCTAATTTGCTATAATGCAATCCTATGTTAATATAATAATTTTTGATTACAATTATTACAATTAATATTAACCTATGGAGCGTGCAGTTTATGCACACCTCTGACATGCAAAGGGTTCATTGACTTATTTTGTTTATTTAAGGGTAAAAGAAGCATATTGACAGACTTATTGCTTGTAGCTCCCTGTACGTATTCTACAGAGCTATGTAATTTGCAGCTTTATCAATAATAATAATGATGATAATACCAGTCCCCTTATATGTGTTGGGTGGGCTACAAGTAATTACAAATATTGAAGAATCTGCAAAGGATCCCATTATATTCTTAAGATTAGGTAATTTAAGCCTTCACTCCATGAATGGGTGAGCGGCATGGGGGGGACCATTGTGCAGTTCCAAACGCTCAACTAATTCTGCTCCTGTTGTACATCAAGGTGGAGGGGTGCATGTTAAATGTGTGGGATTTAGCCAATGGTTGTCCCCATGCCCCTAACCCATTAAACACGGTTAAATTACATTAACAGGAGAGCAGTGCCGATGCTCTTGGTTGTGTATGCGCAACTGAGCAGTTCTGCCTCTGGCTCTATACTTATTAAGTGAGTGAAGGGTTAAAATTTGTAAAATTGCTATGGGTGTACAGAAATGTATTTTTGCCCCTTTTGTTGACGGAACATTCCATTCTCCTTGGCACTAAGAGGCATTAAATATAATGATTGCTGCCCCTCCCATGTGCCTATAAATGCAGATGAGCCAAGGGTGTTTCTTCCATAAACTTGCACCAGTGGAGAACAGGTAAAACCCAAATGTTATAAAACTACAACTCCTGAGATTCTTTACCAGCCATTGTCAGTTCTAATGCTCACCAGACATTGGCTGCAGACGGGTTTTGGAATGCTGGGGCCCCATATTTAGGAAGATGGGTGTGTTTTGTGTCTAATTTGATAGAAACCATGCAAATATATTATTACATAAACCTGCATAAGCTATTTTATATGAAAGGATTTCCACATGCAAATTATGGGAAAAAATGAGAAAAGCAGATTTGTGTTTTGTATTGCATCTGCAGAATGTGTGACATATTACTTAAAGTATGCAATACTACATAGGCAACGTTATCTACATTTACCTACAATATGGGTGTGTTAAGCCCCAAGCAAAATATTTGGGAAATTTGATTAGGTGTAGTCTTATTAAAGTGAGAAATTGTCATGCAAGGACTGTAAATTAAAGCTTATAGATTAACCTTTTGGAAGATTTAGTTTCCCTCTTTATTACTTTAAACAAAGCAGATAGATACAATACAGACCACCCAGCCAATATTAAAGCTCAGAGAGCCAAAATCAAATCAAAACAAAGTCTAATAATAAACAAGTAAAATTATGCTTTTTAGAAAAATCATGGTCGGTGCCAGGGTTTAACCCCTTAAGGACCAAACTTCTGGAATAAAAGGGAATCATGACATGTCACACATGTCATGTGTCCTTAAGGGGTTAAATAGGTGGTCTTTCACAAGGAACCTGTAAAGAATGCCAGATAGTAAACTGGAAAATTCAATAAATAAGGACATTCTGTTGGGAGTCCTTAAACTGCACATAAAGGCTCCCAATATTTAAAAACTGGTAAACCCTATGCTCCTTAGAGGTCTCACTTGAGTCCAGTTTAAACATGTAAGCTGCAGTAGTAGTTTGAATTGGAATAATGATAAAGTGAGTTTATGTGGTGAAATCAAGACCTGAAGGGTAGTCTTCCAGGAATCAACTAGTAGTATCTGAATAAATCTACAGGTTGTGGGAGTAATGCCATAAAAGATACAAAAAATGTTCAGCTCTGGGAACAGCTGCACTGAGACGTTAAAGAGAGATTCAATATAAGTTTTGATGTCTTTCCACAAATCTTTTATCTTTGATCAATCCCTTCTCCCCACATTTCAAGCATTTAGAGGAGTTGGTCAGGTTTAGTTGGTGTTGTAAGTCAGGAGCTAAATAGACATGCCACGTAATCCATTGATGCATCTCTTGGGATGAAATGGATAGAAGAAGCTTAATATAATTTGTTTGTAGCCGTGGGAATGTCATCAGTGGCAAATGAGGGTGACAATGTCCATCTGTGGACATGGTTGGTTGGTATATAATGGTCTGATACCATTTGAATACAACTATAGAGTAGCCTATTAGAATAGTGGGGTTGAAAGAGCATCCAAGTAATAGTGGAGTGAGTGAGTCCTGTCTTTGTCTTGTAGGTGGGGTAAAACTGTGAGGATATAGTCCTGAATGTAAATACACAAAAAAGAGAATTCGAAGTGAAGAGAACTTGTCACATAGTTGTGGGAAAGTTAAGATTCTATCATGATGAGTCTAAACAATTATCAATGTAGAAAAGGGAACTCTTGCACCATTTTTGATTCTTGGGTATATTGTAGAAATAATGCTGGGGCCATCTCCCTCCCACCTGGCAACGTTTATGAAACAGAACACGGTTATGCCACTTGAACTTGTACTGGTTTGGAGTTGTATAATTGTGGTATTATTATTGATGCGATTTCTGCGACTGTATTGATGAGACTCAACCCTGGCCTAGGAAGTCATGCTGTTACTTCATTAATAATGACCTTTTGACTTGGCTTACCATTATCCTGTTTTCTCCTGCCCTTAACCCTTGTTTATTTTTGGACTATTCTCTTCATTAAGTCCAACCATTCTATTAATACGGACTGTCCTTACTGTCTGCTTCTGATTCCTTGGGGTTTGCTTATTAGGTTTCTTTGCCACATAATCTGGAATTTCAGAATTCTTAATGATAAAGTTAGATTTCTGTACATTTCCAATCTTTAATTGCAGAGACAAATAAATGGTTATGTTTAACATTATCTGCCAATTAAGACCGCTTTATGGAATAAGTTAATATGGTGGATGTCAGGAAAAAAACGTTGTGCTACAAAGCAATTGGAGAAGGTATCATGTCGCAAAATCCTATCCAAGGCCTGGTGGTATCTAGCCGCCATGTTATAATCAAATATGAGAGGAGTATTAAGCCCTAGATTAAATTTAGATTGCAGTGATAGCCACTCTTGCTCTCCTTTGCCAGTGGAACGTGTTAAAAAAAGAGTGTAACTTTCTTACCTCACATTTGAAAAGTAGTAATGGAGGGATTTGGAATGTAGGTAACCGTTTAGGAAATACTATTTTTAAAGGCATGACCTTCCTGATATTGTGAGAGAAAAGGCGTTGCCAGTCCTTTAGTTGAGCGGTGAGAAGTTAGAGAAACGTTAAGTTGGTATAAATAATCAACTTGTCTTGGAATCAGGACACATACAGTTGCAAGAAAAAGTGTGAACCCTTTGGAATGATATGGATTTCTGCACAAATTGGTCATAAAATGTGATCTGATCATCTGAGTCACAACAATCAACAATTACAGTCTGCTTAAACTAATAACACACAAATAATGAAATGTTGTCATGTTTTTTTTGACCACACCATGTAAACATTCACAGTGCAAGTGGAAAAAGTATGTGAACCCTTGGATTTAATAACTGGTTGAACCTCCTTTGGCAGCAATGACTTCAACCAATCATTTCCTGTAGTTGCAGATCAGACGTGCACAACGGTCAGGAGTAATTCTTGATCATTCCTCTTTACAGAACTGTTTCAGTTCAGCAATATTCTTGGGATGTCTGGTGTGAATCGCTTTCTTGAGGTCATGCCACAGCATCTCAATCGGGTTTTCTTCTGTTTAAGCCATTCTGTTGTTGATTTACTTCTATGCTTTGAGTCATTGTCCTGTTGCAACACCCATCTTCTGTTGAGCTTCAGCTGGTAGATAGATGGCCTTAAGTTCTCCTGCAAAATGTCTTGATAAACTTGGGAATTCATTTTTCCTTCAATGATAGCAATCCGTCCAGGAAGCCCCAAACCATGATGCCCCCACCACCATACTTCACAGTTGAGATGAGGTTTTGATGTTGGTGTGCTGTGCCTTTTTTTCGCCACACATAGTGTTGTGTGTTTCTTCCAAACAACTCAACTTTGGTTTCATCTGTCCACAGAATATTTTGCCAGTACTGCCATGGAACATCCAGGTGCTCTTGTGCAAACTGTAAACGTGCAGCAATGTTTTGTTTGGACAGCAGTGGCTTCCTCTGTAGTATCCCCCCATGAAATCCATTCTTGTTTGGTGTTTTATGCATTGTAGATTCGCTAACAGGGATATTAGCATTTGCCAGTGACTTTTGTAAGTCTTTAGCTGACACTCTAGGATTCTTCTTCAACTCATTGAGCAGTCTGCGCTGTGCTCTTGCAGTCATCTTTACAGGACGGCCACTCCTAGGGAGAGTAGCAGCAGTGCTGAACTTTCTCCATTTATAGCCAATTTGTCTTACCGTGGGCTGAAGAACAGCAAGGCTTTTGGAGATACTTTTATAACCCTTTCCAGCTTTATGCAAGTCAACACTTCTTAATTGTAGGTCTTCTGAGAGCTCTTTTGTGCGAGTCATCATTCAGAGTAGGAAATACTTCTAGTGAAAAGCAAACCCAGAACTGTTGTGTGTTTTTTATAGGGCAGGGCAGCTGTAACCAACACCTCCAATCTCATCTCATTGATTGGACTCCAGTTGGCTGACATCTCACTCCAATTAGCTCTTGGAGATGTCATTAGTCTAGGGGTTCACATACTTTTTCCACCTGCACTGTGAATGTTTACATGGTGTGTTCAATGAAGACATGGCAACATTTCATTCTTTGTGTGTTATTAGTTTAAGCAGACTGTGATTGTCTATTGTTGTGACTTAGATGATGATGATCAGATCACATTTTATGACCAATTTGTGCAGAAATCCATATCATTCCAAAGGGTTCACATACTTTTTCTTGCAACTGTATATTTTATGTGAGAGTAGGGCTATTGCATGGTATTAAAAGAATGGAAAGGTCATGTGGGATGTAGTCCGTGACCTAAGGCTGAGAATTTAGACCAATTGTCATGATAATTAATAATGGGACCAAAAGCATAATCTTAATCATGAAAATTGTGAGCTACTAATAGGAGTCTGATATTTAAAGCAATATATCATCTGCAAAAGCAATGATACCAACTTGCTGACCTCAACAGAACAAGCATAATAATATAACACATTCAAATAAATAATATAAACCTATAAAACACAAAATGATTAGTGGATCTAACCTTCTGAAGACAAAAAAAAAAAAACCTGACAATTGGCTCTGCTGACTAGACTCGTGCAGGATAAAATAAATGCAAATTCTTCAGAATTGATTTAGTTCAGATTTTTAATTATTGGGTTCTGAAGAATTTAGATTTTAAAATATTTTGTTTCCATATGAAATTAGTTATGGTTTGGAAAATAACTAACTAAGCAGAAAAGTAGCTGTTTTTAGCAGAGTTTTCTCAGGTCATTCTGCGTAGGTTTTAGGACCAAGATTAAGCAAGTAAAAATGAAGCCTCAAGTCATTTCAGAATTCTTTTATTTTCACTTTATTTTAACCTTTTGGTATTGTCATAAAAATGTATTTTTAATTATCATCGAGATTTTAGTGCAAGCAAGAATAGGGTTTTTTGCAACTGAAGTTTAATTTTTAATAATTAATAATTTATATTATTAGAGTTGAACAAGATTTAGAACCCTATTTCTGTGGGTGGACAGTGGAGAAATAAATGTCTAATCTGCCCCAACTGCATACAGTAAGAATAAAATAAATATTGCTTTTTATAGAGATTCTGTTAGGCAAGCGATGTAGAACATTTCAAGCACTTATCCTGTACAGCTCATTACATGGGCTGTTTTATTAGTTTTTGGCTTTTTTCTGTAGGGTTATATTGGGGTGACCATATTAGCACGTGTGTTTTTTACTTCCATTGACATAGTTTTCCACCAGACTTTTGTTCTTTAGAAGTTATTACATTCCATTAATGGAGCAACCGTCCAACTTCTGTTAATTGCCAGTTAGCTTTGTTAGTTTTACATACGTAAAATATGCATAAGACTGACCTGTATTTACAGGAAAAACCCAACAAAAATAAACTATTTTCAAAGTGAAATATTCAGTGTCTGTTAATTTTAGGTTTACTTAAAAAAACAGACACATACATTCCAAAATAGTTTTGCCCGGAGTAAAAAGAGGCAACTGACTTACTGTATAAATGCAATATAAAGGAAAGCAATATATCACAATTAAAATATGCAATTCAATACATATCTAATAGAAGGCCCTCTAGCTATGGGAGGCAGCAGATGATGTGACAGATGAAGAAGGCAGATGTGCGGCATTGGAAACAGCAGTCAGGTGAAACCTGGCCATCCGTTCACATGATGGGAATTTCAAGTGGCGGAGCCACCCATCTGGATCCAAGAACAGAAAAGAGAAAATTAATACTGAAAAATCCAAAATATATACTGTTAAGTCTTTGATACGACTCATGGTAAAACCACAAAAAAAGTGATCACGTGAAAAGATGTGTAAAATGCTAATATGTGTATACAGCTTTGCTGAACGCCAACTTGTGCTCAATATTCCATGCATCAGGTCAGTGGCACAGCTAGAGGACAGCATATTCTCCAACGTGGCACGTGTTCAGCATATTTAAGATTGAGTTGATGTTTTCCCTGGTGTAAGCCACGAAAAATGCAAGCTAGGCAGTGCTGGATTAAGAGCCTATTGGGCCTGGTACTGACGATTATCATGGGCCTAATTACAGAATCATGTGTACATAAAGCACTAAAGCAGCCATACCTCCCAAGTGTCTTGTATCTGGTGGAGTTGGTGCTGGAGAAACACTTGTATGATGCATTTTAAGTCTACATATACCCTATATCAATCTCTCTCTTCTATCACTCAACCCAATTCCTCTGTTCATCTTACAAGCATCAGAACATTTTATTTATGTATTGATGTATTTGTTTGTTTATTTTAGGATCAATGGGCCTGGAGCTGCAGCTCCATTAGCCCTATGTTGATCTGGCCCTGAGCCTAGGAAGTGGGGACCAGAGAAACCCCAAGCATGGGTATCACGTTCGTACCAGCCAAGATGAAAAATGTTTAATTTGAGGATTTTTACAATTTTGCTATTGTGGCTGACATTTGAAATTTACTTTAAATTTATATTGTATTCCCAACAATTCCCACTTTTGTGAATAACCCTCATAATGTCACAGCAATGTAATATTGATGCATTGACCCAACATCTGCTTAGTTTATCCTGACAGGTTCACACAGATTACATCTTATTTTTTTATATTTTAATTTATTCCTTTCACATTTTGCAAGACGCCACTTTCCTGATTAGATTCTCATCCTCAATTATTAAAGTCATGAAATAACTAATGTAGTTGGAACAAACATCCTTTTAGCTGTGTATCTTTCAGAAAAAAACTGTTTAGTGGAAAAAGGCACGAGGTGAGGTCCGTGGAGTTGAAGTCACTTTGTACCTTTTGACCTCTAATGACTGCTTTCATGGTACCTTTGGGGACTGTTCTTGTGTGTTTTAGAAATATCGTTACTTTTAGCACTTATGAGCTTTCATTCTCAACAACAACGAAATGCTAAAACAATCCCTATTCTAGTTGTATTTGACCGCCATCTACTGGCCAAAGTTGTTATTTTTATTATATTTTTATTACATATTTTTAATCAGAGTGAGATACAAGGGATAAAATGACAAAAATCCAAAGTCTATAATAATATTTCATGCAGTAGAACGATAGGTTAGTTAACAAGTTTGACTCAACGTTCGCCAGAGTATATCCTATGTAACCATAAGAGACGACCTGTGTATTACCCAGGAATGCTAAATTTTGTCATGGTCATCAAGATTCCCATTCAGTCTGACATCCTGTCCATGTCATGGACATATATTACATTTTATATGAAACGAAGATAAAACTTATTTAAGAATTATTTATTTCCCGATTTTTGAAATTCATTAGTAAATCAGGAGTGACATAAATTGACCTGTTCAGTTAATCAAGACTCCAATAAAGTTAAATTGATTTGTTTATGCTTTAGAAATTTTATGATCTCTTAGGAACCTTGCAAGTAAACTGATTTATCGTTGTCTGAATTTACAACTAAGCTACAAATTATATTTAATGGACATTTCCGTAGGATTCTGACTTCGTACATTGAGGAATTTGTTTCAGGAACAAATGCTTTTGGCTGGATTGTGAAAGTAGTCTTTGTTCTCTTGCCTAGTTTTCTCCCTCAATCTGCAATGTCTTCTATAGCAAAACTGTGTTGTTACTAAAATCAGCTCTTTCTTACTCTTTTCCAGTAGTAGGGTTGCCCAGTTAGAATGCACTCTGTGCTTATTTGCATATCTTGCATGGCATTCTGGGAGTTTTGTGAAAACACATTGTTTTCACATTGCTCTAAGGAGCGTGTAGTTTTTAAAATTCTATTTAGAATATTGAGCACAAGGAAGCAAGGTGAAAGGTCAGTGTAGGAGTAACTAAATGACCTTCATTTGTTTAAATATACATAGGGATTTAGGAGAGAGCGCAGGTAACTTTTTTCTTTGGTTTTTCCTGTATGTATTGGGGGTGATGTGTACTGTGGTCATTGCTGCCGTATTTAGTCATTTAACTTACAATGGCATTGATTTAATATTGTTGGATACACTTTTTGAAATGATTATTTTTGAAGAAGTTCTCTGTGTGCATATTGGTGTGTAGGAAGAAGCATTTATGTGAGTAAGTATATAATAATAATAGAATGCTGACAGGGCCAGACTGGGAAAAAAAAATCCGGCCCGGGCATTTTTTAATCACAGCGGCCCACTAAGAAGATGGCGGGGCCGGATAGGGTGTGTGTTGTCATCAATAATGACCATCACACCCCATCTCAAAGTGAGCATGTTGGTTCAATGCTCTTCCAGGGCAGACCATGCGCAGAGCTCTAGCATGAGAAAAAGAACCTGTATTTGTTCTGCACAGCGCAAGCAAATTTAATAACATGCTTGCACTGTGTTTCCTTGCAACTTGTCTCTGGTGTCTCTATAAATGGGACACCAGGAGACAAAAGGGCCAGGAAACAGTACTGTGCATGTGTTTGGAGCCTGCTTGTGGTATTGCGTGTGTAGAGTGAGCTGATTTGTGGTGTGATATTGTGTAATAAGGTCAGTTTTAGTTGTGATGTGTTTGTGGTGTAATGTAATGCATATGTGGCTAGGGGCTGTAGAGAATGTGTGTGTATAGGGGATGTAGCAAGAGTGTGCATACAGGCTATAGTGTGTGAGTAGGTGATGTAGTGTGTTTAGGGGTGTAGTATGTGTGTGTATGTTAGGAGTGTAGTGTGTGTGTGTGTGTGTGTGTGTGTGTGTGTATTTATATATGTATATTTATTTATATATATATATATATATATGAGTCTGGTGTGTGTGTTTAAAGGACCCAGAATGTGTGTAGGAGATCTAGTGAGTGTGCGTATATAACAGATTCAGAGTGTATATAGGGACCTAGTGTGTGTATGTGTGTGGATGATCCAGAGTTTGGTAAGGGATCTAGTGTGTGTCTGGAATGGAATGTTTTTAGGGGTGCAGTATGTGTGTGAGGGATATATATATATATGTATATATATATATATATATATAAATAGTGCCGGCCCTGCATAGACCGGCAGGAGAGATCCTGTAACCTCCCCTGCCGGCCTTGGCCCACGGCCACTGCGGCCCACCGGGCATTTGCCTGGTGTGCCCGATGGCCTGAATGCTGATAAAAAGAATGGTAATTATATAGAACACAGAATGGCCAGCATGCTCTTTAAATAACCTGCTCCATATCTGTA